TTCTGATATATTTATAAAAATTTTATATTCTCGTGATATATTTTTTTTTACTATCTAAAATAAAACCAAAAATATATTTGTTTTATCTTAAGAGGGAGTATTACTTAATTAGTTAATTAATTAACTAATTATTTTTTGTTGTTTATTAATTAATTAGTTACTAATTAATTGTTTATTAATTAACTTTGTAATTTTATATATACAAATAAAATGTAGTTTTATATAAATATTCCTAAAATATATGGCTTAACTTAAGTGCTGACGTGGCAATTTTTGGACAGCCTGAGTTTCTCGTACATGGTCTTGGAATCTCCGCCTACGGCGAGGGAGGGAGGGAGCGCCGAGTGGACTGAGCAACAGTCAAATCCTGAAGGTGGCGTCTCTCAAATTAATTGAGAGAAATGAGACGAAGCGCGAGCATCCATTCATGGAATTGTCTCTCCGTACTTCAAATTCCTGGTGACAATTTTTGCAGCCAGTCAATCCCGTTTGATTTGATTCGGGAAAGCATGAAATTCGAGAGAAACTTGAAAGGAGGAAGACGATGCCGGCGTCGAAATTGAAGCTACTCGTTTTAGGCTTCTTCTTCTTTTGCACGACGATCGGTTCGCGAGGGGAATCTTCCACGTGTTTGACGGTTTATAAAGAAGGAGGTGCGCCTGCAGTCTTCCGATCGACGAAATGCCCGCGCTGGAATCTCCCAAATCACGATCCCCGACGGCGCTTCGCCTCGACCAGCACCAGCGTCCGTTGCCAATCGGCAATGCTTCAGGGTCGACGGAAGTCCCAAGAAGATCGCACTCTTTGCGCTCTCGACCTTCGCATTCCCTTCCCCGGTCTGTCCTCCCCTTCTCTCTCTCTCTCTCTCTCTCTCGCTATTTCCCCTAAACACACCTACTCACACGCACGCAACACGAATGAAGGGGGTTAGACTGATTGAATTTTAGCAGTGTATTTGATGAAGTTCGGAGTTCGTTTACTGAAGCGAATTATTAACAGTATTAACGGCTCTGTACAATGTTTTTTTTTTCTTTAATTTCTTTTAATGGAAGTTGGTGCTTGAATGTCAATTTTGGGTTTCCTAGTGGAAGCAAAGAAAGGCATGATATATCCTTTTCCCTATTTCATCTCCTTTCGTGGTTTATAAGGGAAATGGGGAAGATGACACTTGGGATTTTGTTGATTTTACTAATTGTATGAATGAATTGAGAAGTCTGCAAATAAGATTATCATTTGTGCAAGTGATAGTTTCTGATGTACAAAAAATTGATATTTGAGCAGGAAAAACGAGGCCCAAGGAAGTCACGGTTGGAATTGTGGCAGTTTTTGATGGACATAATGGTGCTGAAGCTAGTGAGATGGCCTCGAAACTTTTATTGGAGTATTTTGCACTGCATACTTATTTTCTTTTGGATGCAACGTATTCTGTTCTATTGAAGAAACCCACAGGAAGGTTTCTTCAAGTGCTGAATCGGGATGAAGGCATCAGTCAACATGAGCTGAATTTCGAAAGGTGCTGCTACACAACGATTTAAAATATCAGTTTTATTTTTTATTAAAATTTCTGAAGAAAAATGAAAGAAAATTGGATGGGCAT